AATGCACATGCCTGGATTTTTTCTTTTACTTTCTTTATCATAAAGAAAAATCAAAATAGGTGTGATTTCACAATTTAAGACTTTTTGGGCTTTTGATGAGTCTTTTTTGTTTTCTTTTTTTTTATCCATGATGTGTCATTTTTGTTTGGTTTGGTCATGGGAGCTTTAGAGTGTGTGATTTGACTCTCGAGGATCTTCTTTCAAGGTGGATTGTATATAATTTTATTTTGGTTCCTTGAGTTTATTTATTTATTATTTTTTTTTTTGTCCCTTGGATTTTTTTTTTTCAAGGCTAGAGTATGGGATTAGTACGAAACATGGAGAGTCAAACACATGTATTGTGATGATACAAACCTATGCATGACATTTTCAAATATTTTTTTAAAAAGAAATTGATGATATAATATGTTAAATGTCCGAACAAAATGTTTCTTTGACATATATATATATATATATTGGCTTTCTCTAAGTTATAGTGGGTCTAAAGACACACTTACTTAAGAAATCAAAATTAGGGTTCTTTGATGAAAATATTTATTTTGTTATTTTAGGAAAAATATTAACAAGAAACCTCAAAGAAACGAAGTTTTCTACTATTCAATTCATTATTTACTCATACTCATATTCACCATTCATGTGCCATTATTGTGGTTTGTTCGTGTGAACTATTTACTTGGTATTGTTATAGTTTTTTTTTTTTCTTTATTCATGCATTTGTGATGGCATTATTATGGATTTCAACCTTTGCTCAAACATTTGATATGAAGTTTTTACAAATATTGCACTTTGATCTATGATTTTATCTAAAACTTTTGTTTCGATTGCCAATTTCATTTATATAGCGAGTTTGATCCGTGAGTGTAGAAAGAGTTTGTTTATAATGATCTCAATTTATAAAATGATTGAATGAAGGAGATTGATACCCTAAAATATGCGTTTTAATCTTTGAATTTTTTAGTAAGAATATTTTTTAGTTTTTAAGTAACAATTAAAAGTAAGAAGTGAGAGAGAGAGAGAGAGAGAGAGAGAGAGAGGATTGGTTGTTATATTTGTGAAACCTATGGATGAAGACCAAGCATGTAAAAAAATATTTGTTAAGAGAAAAAAAAAGTCCACATGTTTTATTTACTTTCTTTTTATATAATCAAAATTATCGAAATAAACTTTATAAGTGTTTTTAATCAAAAATAGACTATGCATATTCACACAAAACAATTAACATTTGCTATTTTTAATTTTTGGATATTTTAAAATCAATTTCCCTCGAATAAAATATTTAGAATAATGTTTTGAAAAAAACAACCAATGATACTATACTTTTCAATAGAGTTCTTTATACTAATATCATTGATTGCTTTGAAAAATTAATATTCTTAACGATATTCAATTAGGATAAAAATTTATTTTTAATTTTTATGTAATTTTTTTACATAATTTTTGCTATATTTTTTCTTTGCAATCTCATAAAAATAATAATAATTAAATTTGCATTTTTTTTTTGAATTTTTGATTAATTGAAACTTGCATTTTAGATTATAATAAATTTTTTATTTAAGAATCCATGTATTAAAAAAAAATAAAAAGAATTAATTAAGTAAAAAAATTTGATTAAAAAACGTAAAGTTAGGTCTTTTTTTCTTTTGATTAGGATATATTTTTTGTTCTAGATTATTGTGGTCAGTTTTGTCATTTGGCTATTTTAAAAAACATTAATGACTTAATCTATCTTTTATATAACAAGATAATTCTTTAATTTATTTTTATATTTTGAATTAGATTAATTTTATTTTTGGATATAAATTTTTAATTTTCAAAATTGCTCGTGTCAGATATCTATTCTCTTTCATTCAAAAAATCTTCCTTTCAATTCACTGTCCGTCATGGCCCCGCTTCCACCATCACCATCTTTATCAGCATCATTTGGAGTTATTCCCAAACCAGTGGACAAAATGCTACGAACAATTCTTCTAAAATCGACATCTTCCAAATTGAATATCCCAAAACCTCAATTAGTCGAACAAGTTGGGTTTGTTTGTCTTATTTTATCCCTAAAAAAGATCCCACAAAAGAGTGTTAACCACATCAACTCTCATAAAATTCTACTCCCCAGCCCCTTAATCAACCCTTTAAATGAAGCTCATGAGCTCTTCTTAATTCGTCCATGACATGTGCAAATCAGGCCTTAATAAAAGATAGTGTCAAAATATATATATATATATTCAAAACGACATCTTCAAAATTTCCAAGCTCAAGACTGATTACTGTCCTGTTGAGGCTAAGAGGAAAAGCCGTAGATTGTGATTAATGTTTGTTTGAGTTCTTGACATTGAATTATGGGTTTGATTATTTTGTGAGAAGAAGAAGAAAAAGAAAGGAGGATCTTTTTCAATTGAAAGAGAATAAGTATCTGGGATAAGGGTATTTTTAACATAGACTCTGCATTATATATATATATATGTATATAATTTCAGGATTAATTTCATCAAAACAGCCAAAAATACCAACCAATGTGGTCTTGGCTTAATTAATTATTTGGTTGTTTCATTTTATTTTAAAATTCATCAATTCAAGACTCAAAAATTTATGGCAATTGCGAAGTATGCATTTCTGATATCTTTCCAAAAACTCCTGACAATATCATTAAACTACTTGTGGCATTGCCATATGTTAATTCCCCATTAACTTTTCTTCTTCATTTCAACTACTACTTGTTTCTCACTTTTTTGTTCCCATTTTCCTTCTCCATTTGTTACATTTACCCAAAAATAAAAACATCATTCAAGATCTAGCAGTCCAGTCTACCATACCTGCAGAAAAAAGCTCAAAAGTAAATAGTAACAATGTTGAAAATCTTGGTTTTAATGGATGATAAAGTTAAATATGATAAAAAAGAAAAATTGAAAGTACTTGTTTTCAAGTGGGAATTTTAATCCCACATTGGAATGGAATGAAAAAAAAAAAAAAAGCATTTCATAAAATAGACTTCCTGAAATATTTCATATATATATGGCACTTAGCATGATCACAATGTATGATTAAGAAGTTTTGAATTTATTTTTTTCTGACACTCCCAAATGATTTTGTTACAAGTCAGACTAACATTCTTCAAAAGGTGGTAAAAGAAAAAGAAGTGATCCACTACTCTTAAAAACTGCCCAATCGCATCCCAATAATTATTAATTAACTAACCACATTCTTAATAACCATAACCATAACCATAACCAAGTGATGATAACCAATTTTACTAACTGTCCTTGACATGACAGTTATTAATTTCAGAATCAAATTAATAATAAACTGTTGTCTTGTCTCTGCCTTCATTTTCCTCCTGAAAGGCTAAAATAGTTGAACCGCCACAAACAATAGAGTAAGTACAAAATTACCAAACTCCACAACATAGCTTTCATTTCTCCCATTCTGATCTCAACATTTGCTGTCTTTGCCGCTTCGTTTCAGTTCCAAGTTGGTGGCCAGAGAATTGGAAATGAGGCGGAGAGTTACAACATATTGGTGATTGTCTTCGTAGTTTCACAATATGACCATTCTTTATTGTTGTACACAGTTTGATCAGTCTTTGAACTTCAGTGTAAAAGGATGGTTAACATGTAATTACTTTTGGGGTTAGCTTTCTAATAAAAGCTTTGCAAGTACCGCAAAGACTCAGTGCTAAGCAGTGTCAAATCAATTTCCAAATTAGATAACGGAAGAACAATTTTTCAATTTGATCGAAATGGGTCCTTCTGCACCTGGTCACCGCAAAGCTGGCCAAAAGCTGGTAGTAAGTGTAACGGGGAAACATTACCATGCAGGGGAAGAAGAGACTGCACCTCCACCTGAAGAAAATGGCAGTGAGGGTTATTAATCAGATGGTGGAGATTATTTTATTGGGATGGTTTCAACTTTCATCTGGGGACCGCCTTCGCTGAATTCTGCTGTTGAATTCAATTTTACATCTTATTTTTTTACTGCATTTGGGGGATCTGCTAGTTTTCGTACATAATCTTAAGAGAACCATTCACAAGTAACAACCAAAAGGATATGCCAAGAGAAAATTGTTCGTAGCCTGCCCAAACTGCAGCACACATGTGACTTGGGGATTTTGTTGGCTAATTTCAGTCACTTGGGAATGGTTGCAGGCATGTTGATCAAAAAACGAAAAGAAATATGAAAGCCATTGTGTGGAAAGACGATAAAACTCTGGACAGCTCCCTAGCAATCGCTACAGAACTGGTAACTAGAGAGTAGACATGGATGGGAAGCTTCCACATGAATACCAAATCTGAGAGTGGAGGGGAATTTCCATCAACTTAATAGCATAAGAGGAGAATCCGGAGCTGAGGGGAAAAAAAGATGTGTTTTTTAGAGAGAAAGGAATGGGCCGATGGACGTCAGCCCTTGCAGCTGTGCTATAACAGGCTTAAAAGAAAAACAATATTATTAATTTGCTATCAGCACCTCGAGTTCACTAGTATTTATTACTCATTGCATACTTGTTTTTTCTATCTTCTGTACATCTTCTTTCCTTTCCTAATATCTATTTTCTTTTCTCGAGGTAATTTCATGCTAAAAACAAGAGGAAGAGAATAAGTATCTAGATCCAAGCATGAACTGCAAAAGGAGACTTGTTCATTGTATATGATCCATCTATTGATCCTCCATCAAGAAAACTGGGGAAAGGTTTTTGAGGAAGTCAATCACCATGTACAGAGCACTAACCTTCTTTGCATATTATTGTTTGTCAGCTGATTCAATTTGGATGAGCTTTAGTATAGCAACTTCACGATACATATTGGCATTGTACATCAATGAAAAATTTGAACATAAAAAAAAAAAAAAAAGGCCAATTGGCTGTAAAAATAGCTATCAGCATACGGATGAAATTTAAATCCTTTTGCTACTTCAACTACAACCCCAACAGTTTGTATACAAGAAATCTCATCCTTAAGGGCCAGTTGCCCTTAAAAGAAAATGCTGTAACTTGAGCATGCTTCAGCCCAAAATCAAGGACTGGTAGCTCTAATCTGTTCGACTCCTGCAACACAGAAAGAATCAATAACCTCATCACTTGATGGTCGAGTACTTGATGCATCCTTTACTGTATGTTTCCATCCTGTCTTGTTCTGTAACACAGAAACTGATTTAGCATTTGCTATAGTTTCTTCATGGAAAGTGTCCTGCTCTTTGGTTTCTAACTCTTCTTTTGATTCTACCAGTATGGTCTTCCCTCTAATACCAACTGCCTCTGCCTGATCCGCAAAGAGAACTTTCGAGATGGGTGAACTGCAGATATCTTTATAAGTTTCGTAACTAGCAGCACAAGTATTTCCTCCTTCCAACAGTTTTGACAGAGGATGCACAACAGCAAGTGCATCATGACTTCTCTCCAGGGTTTCTTTCACAACTAGAAAATCAGAGACTAAATTTACCTCACTGAATTGCACAAAAACTGCAGTTTCATCCAGACGATAGATTGATGTAACCGAGGTTGGGCCAAAGACTCTGGAGATGCAATCTTTTATTACCCCTGTCTTGAGTTTAGATGGAAATCCCCAGACTAAAACAATGTTCTCAAACAGAATCCTTGTCGGCCACTTCTTGAAGTCATTACATCTCAAAGACTCTGCAGTCCTATGTCCGGTGCTTAAATCAATAATGTCTCCATTAATCCAACTGAGATATAGAAGGTTAACATGCTTCCAGAGCTTCTCATTATAAGCCAAATTCTCAGATGGCAAATAAAGTTTAAAATCAATGCCTAGAAGACTGCAAGCCTGGGCAAAGATGCACCCAGTCATGAATGCATCATATCCAGCTTCATGTTTGACTCCAAAATTCCAGTTGGAAGACCTGAAAATATATATTCAAGCTTGGGTTAAAAGAGCGGCTTCTATTCAGTGTTTTAAGCACAAACAGAAAGCAGAGCAGTCAATTCATTCTTTTGCCATGTGAGATGACAAGACACAATTACTTGCGTTAACTTTTACTGGAGTGCAATTTTGACTTGAAGACAAACAGGCACTAAGTAGATGCATATACATTAATCTCATAGAATGGTCATTTTTTTTAAAGTTATGTTTCTAATAAGATGAATTCCCATCACAACGTGATTCCGGTGCTTATGCACTAGAAACAAAGGGCGCAGGTAAAATGGGTTGGTAGAAGGATGACACCTTATGCTTTTAACACCAAATTATCAAGTAATATAAACTAGATGGAATTTTATTTTTTACTCGCTTTCACTTACTATGCAGAACAGCCCCTTCTTTCGGATAAGACAACATATATTTACAGACAATTCCAAAGAAATGGAGGCAGCTTTTGCAACAAAATGAATCATGCAAGATAATTTTATAATTTATACAAGACGAGCGAGGGAGATGGAGAAGGACCTCGTATCATCCACTTGAACCTCCACTTTAACAGATGAGCTAAAAGTCAGATCACAACTTTCCTTAGAAGCATAAGCAATTTGTGGACAGAGAGATAAAAAGGCCGAGGAGAGTGATGTCTTTGATTTCTTCATCTTTTGTTTGAGTATATTGTTGGTATTCAAGAGTATTTTAGTGTCAATGATGTAGGGAAAACATTTGTTAACAGAGGAGACAAATTCTTCAGCATCCAATGGAAGCGGACCCAAGAATTTGCTGTATATATGTGCTAAATCTGCATCACAGAAAGCATCTTAATTAATACTGAATCAAGATAACACCATCTTGAAATGCATGTCCAATATTCATACCCAAGAAACAATTGTGACCGACAATCAACTTCTTTTCAGAGGAAAGGAGGTCAATAATATGGCGAAACCCAATTGTAGCTTTGATTTTCATCTCTGCACCTCTACGATTGTCATCCATAACTTCTTTCTGCCAAAAACTAAGATAAGCTGAGAGGGTTCCTGAGAGGGTTCAAGTGATGTCACTAAATGTACAGATTTCATGTTAGTATTTTTATTTTGACAATCTCCCCAACCATTTTCAGCACCAACCGGCTAACATATATGGTATATATTCTCCATGCATAGGTACTTCTTTTTTTCTTTTCTTTTTTCCTTCTCTTACTTGGCATTTGTATCAGCCTGTGTTCCCTTCATCCATCAAAATTAAAACTTAAAAACAAAAGCCAATATAAACTCAACCATTAAGACCTCAAGGAATGGCAGAACCACATTTGGACTACAAAACAGAGATTAAAACTATTTTATCCAAAATCACATATCGAATAATCTTCTATGCAAGGGAAACTTTAAAAAACTCAAGATTCACATGGTTATCTCATCAACCGATCTTCTTCAAAATGAAAAAAAGTACCTTACCTTAAGCAAGTCCCTATCAGCCTCTGAGTCTGTATATACAACAACCAGCTGGGAACAAGAACTTTCACCTTCAACACGAACAGAAGCAAGATCTTTAAAGTGCTTCTTAGTGACCTACATGTATGTTTTGATTTTCATCAGTTAGCATACACCAATCCTCACCTAGTATAGGATAAAACCATTATTCAAAGAATAGTGGTATCCAAAAGGATAAAAAAGAGAATTCTCTGCACGAAGGGGAATCGATGAGAACAGAACTTAGACTTCTACAAGGTAAAACATAAACCCCACGAAAAGTAACAAACTATTAACAGTGCAAAAGGTGAGAACGATGCATTACAATCATCAACGAATTATTGCCAGCAAGTGCTGAATAAGTCCCAAGCATCATAGTCCACAACATAGGTCCTCCAATTGAATAGGTAAAAGCAGTTAAGCATGACAGACATCTGCAACTGAAATTAAAACCAGACAGAGCAGCATTACCAATTGTGTCAACTTAAGCTGATGTGAAGTGAAACCATTCAGAGAAAGAGCCGGACGCATCTTGTAGAAAAGGGTCTGAAATTGTTTATTCGTGTCATTTACTGATCCTTGAAACTGAGATCTCCCACTTGTACCTTTCAATAAATCATCACGCCATTCACTCAACCTATTCTTCATTCTTTCGCTGAACAGAATATCCGTCATGCTGACCAATGGCACATCTCTAACTTGTTGTGACAACTCATTCTGATACCGCAAATTCAAGCGCCTTAAGGCTTCATCTTCTTGCCGTCGAGATAAATAAGACACTCCTGAGATTAACCAATTCCCAAAGTCCCAATTTTACAACAATATGTATTAGCAATGGCTGACAGAAATGAGGGAAAAAGAAAAAAAAGAAAAACCTTGGCGAATGCAGGCATTGAAATCAAAATCATATTTAGCCAAGAAATCCAAGGACGATGTCTGGCAAAGGAAGTCATGCGAGGAAGAAGCAGCATCTGTTGGAAGCTCATCATGAGCGGGAAATATAAAGAAATTGTGCCTGAAATTTAACAACACAACACAAAATTCTTCTCTGACTTGGTTATTACATGGCAATACTAAAAGTAACACTAATATTTTTCTTACGGGTGAGCGATGAAGGAGAGTCGAAGTGGGTCCCACCGAAAGGGGCAAACACCGAATTGGATAACAGCAAATTTCTCCGCTGAATCTTTAACTTTAAGGTACTTGACATCGAAGCGGTCAAACTCCATGGAGTCGCGCCATGGTGCGCTGCTCACTCCTGTCATCTCCAAGTCGACGGCCACGAAATCAGCGGCTTTCACATGGTTTTTGAGGTCAGCGGCTGCGGACTCGAAGTTTGATTTTGTGACGTGCTTTTGAGGGAATGGAGAGGAGAAGGTGCAGTAGCAGGCACGCAACACTGTAGTCCTTAGCCATTCATGCTTTCTCAATCTCATTCTCATTCTTTCCGTCTCATTGTTTCGTTTTGTTTAAGGGTTTTTGTTGTTTCAGAATTCAGGGTTCTATTCTGGAGGAGAGATGATTTTTCTTGTTTTAGCCCCAACCAAACGCTGTCGTTTTCTTTAAAAGAAGTTAAATGTAACAAATAAGCAATCAAACTATATTTTTATCCGTTTTTTTTTTTTTTTTTGTAAGGCGATAAAATTTTATTTATTTTATATAAATCATACTCCGGGAAAAAAAATGATGAATATACAATTGTGTTTTTCTAGATCACCTTCTGTTAATGGGATTTGCTCCCATGATTGCTGCGCTTGATCATAAAAAACAAAAAATTATACGTTACTAAAAAAATTAAAAAATCGAAGGATATCATTGTTCATTTACTTTAGTAATTTTCTTTTTAAGGCCGGCCGTAGGCTAAGCAGGTCTGGCCTAACTCACAGTCGTTTACTGTAGTAACTTATCCATTTACTGTATTTTTAAATAAAATAGTTTAATTAATGTTTTGAAATAACCTCTTAATTATTCAAATATAAATTTTTATACTAATATTATAAATTATTTTTTTAATAAATATATATAAATCAAACAAGTTCACTTAATAAATAAATTCGATTTACATTAATCTCTCGAAACAAAACATCTACTCGCATTATATCATTCGAATCGTTAACTTTATGTATATAATGGTTATCCGACCGCAACGTTGCACAATTATCTAATTAGTTCGGATGAAAAAAGCTAGTGGGCACTAAAAAAAACCTTCATATTCAAATATATACTCAAATTTAATTATGCAATATTGGAATATGCCACCAAAGATAGACAAAAATTTTAATTAAACTCATAAAATGCAACATAAAAATATTTGTATTTTAATGTGCAACAAAATAAATGAATTTAATTTATCATTAAAAACTTAAGATTAAACTATTAATTATAAAAATTATTTATTTATCTTGATAACCACGCTCACAATATTCATGCAAATAATTTTTTTTTTCAAATTGAAAATAATTATCCAAATAATAATTTAAGTGAGTATAAAAACTAAATTAGATAAATAAACTAATTAGATATTGAAAACATGAAGTGATGATAGATTGAATTGAAAATAAATAGAAAGTTGTTTCTTAGAATTTTTGCTTTCTATACAAACAAATTTAGTCTAATAGTTGTGTACTCAATAGATTCTTTTAGTGAAGTGAAGTTCAAATTCAACTAACTCGCAATTTTTAAATTATAATTAGATAATGGGAGACAACTAGAAGTATTTATGGTTCCATATTCTAAGTCATTACCCAAAAATCCCTAAACCTTCTAATTGTAAAACTCAAACCCAATCTTTTTCAATCCGTCGATGAGCTTGGTCCTTCCCTCTATCGCGAACCATTTAAATTTATTTTTCCTTTTGGTGTTTCTATCCACAAAATGGTTAAGCGTTTTAAGTTGAATTTTCATGTTAGTAGATTATTCAACAACTCGAGTCCTATTTTTTATATTGAAAAAAATAGGATTGTATAAGGTGAGTGGTTAGAAAATCCCAATTATATGACATTAAAACACCTTCATGACATTATTGTTAAATCTGGATACAAGACACCCATGATTATGGTATTTAAATAACTTGGTTTAAATCTAAGCAAAGGAGGTTTAATTATAGATGAGGGTGTGGTGTTTATAAAATTTTTTAAGTGTTGCATGTAAACAAAGGTCTCGTAGATGTTTATGTGGAGGAAAATAAGGATGTAGAAGGATGTGGTAATGTAATTATACGTGATTTGACTCGGTTTATAGATGAAGCAAATGGAGTTGTAACTTAAGAAATAGGTGGGAAAGGCATAGTTGATTATAGGGTTTCTAAAAAGTTTGATGCTTTGGGTGATAGTGTTTTGGATGATAATGTAGTCGTTGATGAGTATGAATAGAATGCTAGTAGTAATGATGAATGATACTTACCAATTGAGGAACTACAAAGTGATGGGTGTTTAAGTGATACCAATTCTAAAGTTATATGGATGAAAACTAATTGAGGCTGGAAAGCAAATGAGGATTATGAGGAGCAAGTGTGATATTGGACTTCAATTTAATGATAACTTGGTGATGCATACCCCATCAATGAGAAGAACTTATGTATAATCCGACCACAATATACTTCAACTTACTAATAGAGGGTCCGTGAGTAAATATGAAAGCAATAAAGATGAGCAATTAACCCCTCCTAGAAGTGATAAATGTTATCGGCTAAATAGATTTATTCTCGCCTTCAAGAAAAAGAATTTGATGAAAATAAAAGATATGAATCAAATTATTTAAGTCTATGCTATTAAATTGAAATGTTAAAATAGAAAAATTTTGTAACGCCCTCAACCTAAGACCTAGATAGTTCGTGGATATTAATGACATTGATCGACATTCGAAGTGTAATGAATCTAAGCCAGAAGCCTCTTTTCTTATCATTCCTAATGTATTAGAAGAAGTGGGCATTTATCATACGAGTCCCTACCGAGAATGGGATACTAGATCCACTTTCACATAATTTGAGTATAAATTTTTCCTCCTTATCTTTAGGTTCACTTAAGCCTATTACTAATTTCATTAAACCTCTTAATAATTTAGCCATTACATTTTCTTTTAGCCTTGGCCTTAGTATTTCTTTCTAATTCCTTGTTATATTGATTACAATCATTTCCATCCTCCTACCCATGTTAGTCATTTTAAACATCTAAGTTCTACGATTAACAAGGTTAACTTAACCATACTTAACATTCAAACTAACCCTTTTATTTATACCAAAACAATATTTGTTTAATTGATTTACATACATCCTAAAAATGCATGTCTTCATGTGCACCAAAAATTAAACTAAACCATACATGATTCCCATACTCACTAACCCAAATCCAAAGCATACAAGATGGGCAATTCCATCACTTATCTTGGCAACGAACCCTTCATTTATCTTTATCATTTCCTACACCATAAGCAAATAAATGGTGAGCAAGGTAAAACTCAATAAGCATAATTCATGCAATGCATATGATGTTCTTTATGCATGAATGCACATAATGTAACTTTCCTCAAGTCCTTTTTCATGCCTTTGAAAGCCATTTTCCTTTTCCTTTTTCGAGTGTACTTGTTTTTTTATCATTTCTTCGATCGGGGCCTTCACCAAATCCCTCAACTCGTTGAAGCCTTTACCGAATCTCTCGACGAAGAAATGCCTTTATCATATTTTTTAGTTAAGGCCTTTAACAAATCCCCTAACCTGTCGAGGCCTTTACCAAATCCCTTGACGAATAAGGGTTAATTTCTTCGATTGGGGCCTTTACCAAATCCCCAAACTATCGAGCCTTTTACCGAATCACTCGATAAAAAATGGCATTATCATAAAAATCATGAAAACCTTTTTCCTTTTTCCTTAAAACCTTTTTCATTTTTCATTTCATCAAAATCACAAATATAAAATCATCTTTCATGATAATGATGTGCATATTCATTTAAATAGAATACAATGTCATGCCATGAATATTTCCTCAACATGGTTCCCTTATGAAAATCCTCAAGAACATGCATAACATGATACATCAATTACATGCTTTAATAACATAAGTATGCATATAGCATAAAACATACCATGCACATTCCATAAAAAAAGTGAATATCATCTCAAAGCCAAGCAAACAAGCATCATAATCAATTAATTTTTCATATAAACATAATCATTTCCATTCCTCTTGATCCTCTAAACCTCACATTTGACTATTTCTCTTTATCTTTGTTTTTCATACTTATTTGAATTTAGGCTAAGTGAAGGACAACCTTTCAACCTCTCTATCTAGCTTTAAGAATGTCTCTAGGCCATTTTATCAAACATTTGGTAGGCATTAAACAAGATAACTACTAATCTATACTTACTAAGGGGTTGCTCATCCATCTTGTTCTTAGAACAAAGACATCATCCATACATAAGCATTCACATTATTCAAACCATTCAACATCACTTTTCTCAAATCATAAACATATAAGCAATACCAAACAAATCAAATTCAATCCACATCACACAATTCTCAAATACCTATCTACTAACCCTTCATCAAGTAAGTTACAAATTAACACTCAATTACACCTTCATACATAAATTCTTATTGTGTAAGTGATGAATTATACTTACCTCACTTAGAATTTCGCCTTTCTCTTTCTTTTTTCCTTGGTTCCTTCCTTCCTCTTCCTTCTAAAATTTTGACCAAATAGAGATTCTTCTCTTCCTCTTGCTTAATCTTCTCGGATAGTTTAGAGACTAATTTAAGGTGTTTCTAAACTAGTTAAAAAGATTAGGAGTGGTGGTTTTGGGTAGTTGAAATTTTCCTCTTTTTGACTTAGGTTTTTCCCTCCTCTTTCTCTCTTTTCTCCCTTTCAACCCATCTCTCTCTCTTTCCTAAGTCCGGAATTCTAGATTTTCTAACCTATTTTGTCCCTTAAGTTCAGCTAATGTGTCCCTCTCATTATTATTACTTAACACTTTGGTCCTCAAACTTTCAATCCTTATAATTTGGTCATATAATTTCAATCCGTAACTTCACATTTCTTATCAATTTGGCTCTCATCTAGGCCAATTCTAAAGTTAATTCAAGTCTTTAAGGTTTTTTAATTATTTTAATTAAGGACTTAAATCTTTAATCTTTACGATCATACCCTTTGGTTTTGCAATTGCACCCATAGCAATGCATAACTATATCAATTAGGGGTACCACTACCTAATTCAAACTTTCCTCATTCCATAAACCCATTTCATTAATTTTACTTATATTTTTTTTATTCCCAATTGAGTTCCAAACTTCACTCACTCATTCAATAAATACACCTTTTTATTAATTAATAAAATATTTATGTAATATAATTACATTTTTAGGAGGGTTTTAGGTCACGAATAATATAAATTTAACGATGGCATTTTGGGTTAAAGTTTGTAAGTAAGGTTGGACCTATTAATTATTTA